TACTGTGCAGCTTGCTCTTGTCCTTCAGTGATCCCATGGGCATATATATTTAATTATTCTTTTTGGCGACTGTATACTACTCCACAGAATGGACATGTTGGATGGATCCGTTTAATGGTTTCCTTGTTGGTCACTATTCATATTGTTTCTGACTTGTTGCAGTTATCAAAGTGCCGTGAGGTAGATATACTTGTCCATATGCCCGACATATTGGAGTTCTTATTTTCCTTGACTGTATTCCTAAAAGTGGGAATACCAGGTCCAGGGGTACGCACCTTTTACATTTCAGTAAGTACAGGAAGTTACTTTCCCGAAGAGTTGCAGTGTGTCAACCCCAAGAAAGCAGTGTCGTTTCAACTCCCTGCTTGGTGCAAAATGGATTTCGTTGTTGCTCTGGTTGTGACCGTGTGTCAGTTGGCTAATTGTGCTTCCTCTTCGGCAAATTAATGGTTAATATAGCCTCAGCCTAGTTTTGCTGGATTGCTTGCCCTCTTCTTGACCCCTGGTGGGGGCCCTTTATGCTAGGATTATTATCTCCTTGACCTATCTTACGAACATCACCTCTCAGTCTGTATTTTTCTTAAACTTGTTTAAAGGCATCTTGGCCATATTGGGTACTATTTTAAAGATAGTTTATGAGTAGGAAGTTGTTCTACCAGATATTAAACTTTACTAATTACTCACTGAGAGCCATATGATACTGACATGTTAATAGACAACCTTAGCAGGATAGAGGCCCAAGAGCAGATCCAAGTGTATTTCACATCCTAAATTATGGTAAGGAGACGTTTCAATCTAATTACAAGACAGAATGGATATTTAATTACTTGTTTTTGATAATTGACTCTTGAAGAGAATAGTTTTCACACCTTGTACAAAAAGACATTTTAGACAAATGAATGAATGAACGGGATTCAAAGTCAGGTTCTTTTCCTTAAAGGGCCTACAGCAATACCTTCTACTCATTTCTGTCACGGTATTTGCATGACACTGAAGTTGCCCACTGATTTGTGTTTTTTTCTCCTTTAGATTGTAAATTCCGTCAAGGCAGGAGCCCTTACTCACTGTGGCGGCTCAGTTGGGGGCTGTGATGGGCGCACCCAGTGGGTGTTTCCTCGCTGTGGGATTGTGCATGAGCTTGTGTGTTCCCCTCTTGTTCTGTATTCTGTCTTCCGTTCGCAACAAAGTCATTTACAGAATAATATATCAAATAGAAAGCTGTTTACTTTGTCCCTAAACCTGTAAGCTTAATGTCATCAAGACAGGCCAGGGGCCTGGATGGGGATTGGGGAAGTGGGTGGGGCTGGAAGTGGATGGACTCCATGGAGATTCAGTAGGAAGTAGATGCAGCAGGACCTTGGTGATTCAGTTGAATGTTGTCCTGAACAAAAGGGAACACGTAAAAGAACGACTGGGCAGCCCTTGGAGAGATCTGCTGGTATGTGTTACGGACAAAAGGAGCTTTTTTTCCTATGTGAGGCTTTTATTGGCCGTTTCTAACGCATCTTGTCTCCCTGATACCAAAACCCGACTGCGAGCATAGTTCATTTTCAACTCATCGCTTTTCTCTTGCGAATTTTCTTTTGTGTTTTCTGCTCATTGCTCTCTCCAGTTGCTGAATTCTGTCTTAGAAACAGTGAATTGACCTCTGAGGGCAAGGTAGGGGAAGAGTATACGAGCAGACAGAGCCAGAACTCTGTTTAGCAGGCCGCAGGAAAGGGAAACTAGGAATAATTAGGTACTATAATTTTTAAAAAATTTTCCTTGAGAGAGCGAGAGAATCCCAAGCAGGTGCCATGCTCAGCGTGGAACCTGATGCGAGGCTCGACCCCACAACCCCGGGATCGCGACCTGAGCCGAGACCAAGAGCCGGACGCTCCACGATCTGAGCCACCAAGGCCCCCCTGTGTATTCATAATTTTGTATGCCGTCTCAAGGAGGTGTCTTTATCATAAAAAGGCACATGGAGAGGCTGAAGGAAAGGGACCCATGGGGTTTATTAAGAGGAAGGACAGAGCGGATTATGGGTGAAAGTAGGCGATAGGCTGGCACAGGGAGCCTGGACTTTGAAGGTGACCGTGGGTGGCAAAAATGTTGACACGAATGTTTCTCAGCAGTTTTCTGGTCGATGGTTACGCTCGGGCCTGAGGAGCCTGGGGTAGTGAGAACAGCTACCGCGCACTGTCGAGGCAGGAAAGCCTTTGATGTAGGAACCTTTTCGCCTTCTTATCCTCCGGGGTTTTCTCCAGGTTTGGGATGGAGAAATCCTGATTGGCGCCTGGTGAATGTTTGTTGAAGGGGTGAGTTATGTTTTACGACTTTCTGTGTGTGTGTATTTGTTTCCAGTTTTCATAGCAGACTTTTCTATTTGAAAAGTTTTTGTGTTTGCTACTCGAAGTACTTTAACTTTAGAGTAGTAGATGTGGGTTTCTTCTCCACAGCCATCGTCATTTCTAGCAACATGTTTACGCCAAGAGTTTCGTTATATTAGTTTGTTCTAATCTTCATGATAGAGTCTGTTAAACATTAGGTCCAGTAAATATAGCAAGTAAACCATAGACCAGAATTTGAAATGCATTGTTTCTCTGATTTTCAAGGATTTAAAAAATGAAGTTGGTTGCTTTTATTTAATAAAAATTGCCCATGCTTATCATTTTAATGTAGAGTGACAAGAATGTGAATTTTCCCAAGACTCTTTAAATCTTAAATGTCAACTTGGTGATAGCACTGAAGTAATATCTTTATTTGGCGATAAAATAATTTTACTTATTTATTTATTGAGAGAGGGACCAAGCAAGCATGCACTCCTACAGGCAGGGGAGAGGACAGAAGGAGAGGGGGAGAGAGAATATTAAGCAGGCTCCATGCCCAAAGCAGGGTTTGATCTCACAACCGTGAGATCACGACCTGAGTTGAAATCACGAGTTGGACGCTTAACCAACTGAGCCACCCAGGTGCCTCTCAGTGATAAAAGCATTTTAACTTGAAGGTGTTATAAGTGACATTTAAGAATCTTCTGTTTACTGTCCTTCATGCTGAGTGCTACACTCAGAAGAAGGTGTCGTTATCATAGATAACATAGATGAGAGAATAAAGTGTCAAAGAGGTTAATTTATTTTTCAAAAGTCATTGATAATCCAGAGTCAGAATTTGAATACAGGTTTCTCTGACTACAAAGATCATCTTTTCACTCTCTGTCTTGTTTTCACTCAACCTAAAAAATATATATGATATGATATGCTATGGTACGATAAAATTACTATACTATCCTGTACTATAATACACACACATATATACGTGTTTATAAAGCGATCTAGAAAATACCAAAAAGCGGGACACCTGGTGGCTGAGTCGGTTAAGCATCTGACTTGATTTCGGCTCAAGTCATGACCTCGTGGTTCATGGGATTGAGCTCTGCGTCGGGCTTCATGCTGGTGGCACAGAGCCTGCTTGGGATTCTCTCTCCTCCTGTCTCTCTGCCCCTCCCCTGCTCGCACTCCCTCTCTCTCTCTCTCTCTCAAAATAAATAAGTAAACTTAAAAACAAAGAAGAAAGAAAATACCAGATGTCTATGACACCATGGGTAATCTAACAACCCAGAGCTAATCCCTGTGAACATTTTGGTGTCTACTCGTCTTTTCATTTTTGGCGTATACCTATGGTAAGGGAAGACTTGTTTTCACTTACGTTCCCCAGTACTCTCTCAGTACTGCTTTGCTTCTGACATGAGGTGTGTGGGTTTCTGCAACACCAGCAGAGTATCCTGTGGTTTAACTCCATTCTGATGCCGGCCACCTGGAGATAGTGTCACATCCCATAGGCTAAGGGGTCCAGTCCTACAAGACTCCCTCCTCACCCCTAGGTACAAGTTCAGGTTACTACTTGTGCTTCTGACTCACAGACGGTAGGTTGGAGATCGTCACGACTTAATCCTCAGATACGGCTGGTCTGCTGGGGCAGCTCACCGGACTCAGGAGGAGCTCCGTGACGCAGGTGTACAAGGCTGGGTACGGTGAGGGAGGCGTGGAGCCTCCCCCCCCCCCCGCCCCGCACCGCAGCACCTCCACTTGTTGGCCGACCTGGAAGCTCTCCAAACCTCATCCTTTTGGGTTTCTAGGACAGCGTCCTTAGATAGGCATGATCTATCAAGTCATTAGCCATTAAGGATGGATTTAGCCTCGGCCCTTCCCTAGAAATTTCCAACCTTCTAATCTCATTTGGTTCCCCTGGCGACCAGCCTCCGTCCTTAGGTTACCTAAGGACTTTGCAGAAGTCACCTCATCAACATAAATACTAGTGTGGTTGAAAGGAGTTTCTTGTAAATAACAAAAGCTAGCTTTGTGCCAACAAATGTATGTATTTCTTACTATAAATCACAGTATCGTATACACATACTCGTGGGAGTCCATATCTAAAATTACTTGGCTTCTGTTTATATAGACCTAAGAAGAGTACCGTTTGGATACTTCTGCACTATCAGAAATAAGAGGAGTATGTACATCGTGGAAATTATTATGTCCTGTATAAGAGTGCTTTCCAAATGCTGGTCCAGTGCTGGTTTAATAAAGTTGCTACCAGTCCAAGAGAAAAGAGGGAAAACGTAATAATGGTTATAAAAGGAATCTATTCAACATACGTGGCTGGCTTGCATTCGAATTACTGTAATCACTTGTGAATTAAAATGTTTATTCTTCTATGAAACGTTGATAAAACTATGGTCTGTTATAGGCGGTGATGTTGATGTTCCTTTTTGATGTCGTTACTTGGCAAAGTATAACAACAAAACAATGGTAGTCCTTCGTTGTTCCCTGGCTCAATTTTCAAAAACTTTATATTCTTGCCTCAGGAAGCATACAGGCTTTGTGAGGATCATCTCACACAGCTTCTCGTTAATTAACAACGACGGTATTTGACCCCAGTGCCGTTTGACCTTGGGTTCTATCACATACATTAACTTTTCACCCTGATTATTTGATTACTTTTTTTCTTCTCATTCCCAGTACCTGGTGATGGATTATTATGTTGGTGGGGATTTGCTGACTCTGCTCAGCAAATTTGAAGATAGACTGCCTGAAGATATGGCTCGGTTTTACCTGGCTGAGATGGTGATAGCGATCGACTCCGTTCATCAGCTGCACTACGTACACAGGTGGGTAAGACCTTACGCGGCAGCGGGCTGTGTGAGTGTGGAAGCAGACGTTTTTAGAGGAACGTGGTGCTTTTCATGGCCACGGAGGAATTTTGTCTTTGTAAACTGTTTGACAGGTGTAATGATTGATTTAAAGTCTTCCCTACAGATGCGTGTTTGATTGTATGCAGTGTACGATGGAATGATAAAAATAGGCCTGTTTACCAAATGATTTTTCATTTGGGATTCTTCTTCGACCTGTTGACACACGTTAGAAGTCTCTCTCTCTGTGAACAGCTCGTAATAATTTATGTGAAGAGCTTAAGGAGCAGTCTCACATTTCATTTTTATTTTTCATTAAAAAAAATGTTTTTTAAGTTTTTTTATTTATTTTTGAGAGAGAGCCAGAGTGAGCTTGGCTCTGGGACAGAAAGAGCCAGAGGGAGAGAGGATCACAAGCAGGCTCTGTGCCATCAGCACAGAGCCCGTCGCGGGGCCCGATCCCACGAACTGGGAGATCGTTCATGGGCCAAAATCAAGAGTTGGACACTTAACCGACTGAGCCACAAGGCACCCCAAAGGAAGATCACTTTGATTAACACTTTTCTATTCATCAGATCTCACTGGGGCTCTTGCCTACTCATATGCTTTTCCCTATTGATATTTGATAGGCACAAAGTTTATTAAAAATAAAAGGATGAATATGCTTTGAAAATTGTAAAACATGACGTGTTTTATGATGGTATTAGGGTCTCGAGTGAATTACAGGATGCGAAACCAAAGTGCTTCTTTCTTTGCTCAAACAGTAAGCCACGGTCCTAGCTGAGGACTCATTTAAAAATACTTTAAAAATATCATTTTATTGAACATTTAAAGAATGTTAGTTTCATGGGGTTTTGTGAAACTGTACCCAATTCACATCTAAATTCTCAATAAGGAATGATTACTTTTGAAAATAATTCCTCTGGATTGGAGATAGTAAATATGAGGTATTTGTGTTACCTGCCCTTCTTCCAGGCTGTGACACAGATACTCTTAACTGATCATAAGACCCTTTCCCACCGACTCTATGTGCAGTCTTAGAGTTCTTCTCAACACAGCATTCTACCTGACAACTATCTTTCTGACGTTGACATTGAGAAGCATTTCAACCCTGAGCTCTGTTAAATACGTGTAATTTTACGAGGTACCTAACGTTAAATGAATCCCATTCATTTCATTGTTGGACAGCTCCGATGTCATAGAATTTTACTTTATGTTAAGCTGAATTTCTTTTTCTCCTAATCGTTGGTCCTAGTTTTGCTGTAGAACCACATACCATAATCTAATTTATCTTGTTACCATGCCTTCTGAAGCCATCTTCTCTTTAGGCTAAACATCTAAATACCTGTAGTTTCTGGGTTCTCAAGGCTTATGTACACATTCTGTCTCCCACTATCTGACATGCACATAGTACCCTCACCCTCACCTTGTGCCTTCTCCCTCCTCTCTCTCTCCCTTTACTCTTCAGTGGACGTGTTCTGCTAGGTTAACGTACCTCTTAAAATGTGGCTCTCATTTTCTGGACAGATTGTATTTTAGTAGATGCTTTACTGAGGAAATATTCCTGGGGTCTTCTTTTATAAATAGCACTGTGCTAAACTGCATAAAATTTTAAGTAAGTGTAGCATATGGTCCTGACTTGGAAAAGGCTTCCAGTCCCTTTGGGGACACAAAACACAAGACATAAATAAGAACTAAAGTAATAAAAGTTAAATAATCACTTAGGGCAAAAGTTTAAGAGATGGAGTGAGCCCAGATTGCGAACTCTTTGTTGGGTTATACAAGCAAATTACAGTGAACTCAGAGAAACAAATAATCTTAATTCTTAAGATTACCATTCATTAAGAAAACCATTCTTAATGGTTTTTTCCACTGGTTATTTAACTCTCACTATGTGTTACGGACTTTACCTGTATTATTCTAATTCTGACAATAAATCTATGATTTGGGTGTCATCTAAAATGGATGTTCCATTTTACAGATGAGGAAACCCAGCTTCAGAGACATGAGTCGGTAATTAGCATAGGCTGGATTAAAATCGAAGTCAGGCTGATGCCGGAATTTATGCTGTTCATATAACATCATATTGCTCATAAGAGGATGCTTTACTGGTAGGACTTTGCAGAATAAAAAGGCTTTCTGTGGGCAGAGAGGAAGGCGTTCTAGAAACAAGGGATGAAGGAGACAGGGACACAGGCGGGCAGAGGGCGGGTCTAGAGAGGTGTTGGTAGGTGACTCGGCTGAAGAAAAGAGCTCATGTGGAGTTTAGGAAGAGAGATTTCAATCCCTGTTGTGGAAACGTTTGAACACCATGCTGTAGACTTTAGATCTTGGGAGCCATCAAGTTACCGATACTTTTAGGTAATGTAGTGTTTGATTAAAACAGTGTGTTAATAAGTAAGTTGACTTTACAGTAAACTGTGTATCAGTTTTCATGTTTTGCTGGATTTCAGAATGTTTTATAGTCATGAATTTCAAGTAGAGGGAGTTAGAGAAGACAAAAAGGGAGTAGTGGAGACTGGATGTGTTCGGGGAAGGAAATACTTTTTTTCCCTTGTGTTCTTGTATTTTATTATTTTTTAAAAATGTTTATGGATTTATTTTGAGAGAGAGTGTGTGTGAGAACAGGGAAGGGGTAGAGAGAGAGGGAGAGAGGGAATCCCAAGCAGCCTCCGTGCTGCCATCACAGAGCCCGATGCGGGGCTTGAACTCACGAACCGTAAGATCATGACCTAAGCCAAAATCAGGAGTCAGATGCTTAACTGACCAAAGCATCCAGGTGCCCCTCCCCTTGTGCTCTTTCAAACTACATTTATTTCCAAACCTATAAAATACATTATTGGTCTTCTGACAGCACAGACATTTTCATATGAAAATTTTGTCTTCACTTATGCATCGGGAGAAAGGAGCAGTGGAGAGTAGTGGATGAGAAGAATCATGAAATCATACATACGAGTGTTGAGCACATTGTGAGATTTCAGTCAAGAACATTGCAACTTCCTTTGAAATGTCTAGAAATACACTTTAAAAACACATTGTAAGGCATTATGTTACCTGTTTTCAGAGATGTTAATTATGAGATGAAAGAGACAGGAATGGGGACATGGAAATAAGAAGCGCAGAGATTGACTCTGGAAGGCTGTAAAATTGATTTACAAACTGACCCCATAAAGTACAGACATTTTCTAGTAACATGATGTAGTAAAAACAAGCATTAAGCTCGGTGCCAGCAGACTTATGCACTGTTCTGGTTCCCCCATAAGCTTTTTAAACTTAGATTCCAAAACATGATTTATCACTGAGATTACAGCAACTTGAAACTTCTTTTTTTTTTTTAACGTTTATTTTGAGACAGAGACAGAGCATGAATGGGGGAGGGGCAGAGAGAGAGAGGGAGACACAGAATCCGAAGCAGGCCCCAGGCTCTGGGCTGTCAGCACAGAGCCCGACGCGGGGCTCAAACCCACAAACCGCGAGATCATGACCTGAGCCGAAGTTGGATGCTCAACCGGCTGAGCTGCCCAGGCGCCCCAAGCTCCTCCCCTTTTAAAGAGGCAGGGAAAGGACGCAGTGGGACTGAGGACAGAAGAAACATGGCAGCAGTAGAGCTGTTGTTGGTAGCGAGGCTGATGGAGGTGCTTTAAACGTTAAAGAGGTCCGTTCTCCCCAAACTGATCTGCGGGTTCGATACAGCGCCTGTCAAAATCCCGGCAGGGTTCTTGTTTTCTTGTTCTTTTAAATCCAGGTGAAAGTACGTGTCGAGCTCTCCACCCGCAACAAGTCCAGCTCCTGCCCTTGTGTTGGTAGTTGTGTTTAGGCCTCAGGCTCCTGGCTTGTCCCTAAGCGACTGTCCCTAGCTACAAATTTAATAACATCATTTCATTTTCAGTAGTTACGACAGCTCACAGGTTTTTCCTTTAGAGCAGTAAAGATTTTTTATTTGTTAGGTACACACAGGCTTACTGCAAAGTTTACATGGAAATGCAGTGAAACTGGAGTAGCTAAAATGATTCTTTTAATGATTTTGGAAAAGGAGAACGAAGTAGTCAGAGTAACTACCTACTGTTGAGAGTTACTACGTTGCTGCCTTAAGCAAGACACTGCGTAGTGGGGGAGGAGTAGACATCACAGATCACCAGGTAGAAAGGAGAACCCAGGCCGAAATGTACGCAGTTACCTCCAGCTGATTTTGACGACGGTGCTGACGCAACTCAGTGGAGGAAGGATCATCTTCAGCAAACAGCACGGAATCGTAAGCGAAAAAACAAACTTCCTTCAGCCTCACACAAATGTGAAAAATAGTTCAACATGGGTCATGGATTTAAGTAGATGACATAGGGGTACCTGGGTGGCCCAGTCAGTTGAGCAGCTGACCAGCTCAGGTCACGATCAGGTCAGGTTCGTGGGTTTGAGCCCCGCACGGGGCCCTGTGCTGTCAGCGCAGAGCCCGCTTCAGACCCTCTGTCCCCCGCACCTGCACCTCCCCTGCTCATGCTCTCTCTCAAAAATAAAAAGTAAGTAAATAAAAATAAACATTAAAAAAATATTCAACGTAAAAGTAGAAAACTTTCAGAAGAAAACATCAAAGGACGTCTTCTGGACCTAGGGCTTGGTGAGGAGTTCCTAGGACACCAAAAATTACTCAAGTGGACTTCATCAACACTAAAAACGTACACTTCTAAGGCCCAGGTAAGCCGATGAAAGGGCAGGCTCCAGAATGGGGGTAAATATTTGCAGACCACATACAGGATGTACACCTTACAAAGAACTCGAAACACAATCCTCAAGAAACCTCAGATAGTCCAGTTATAGGATGGACGAAAGACCCAAAGAGACACCGTGCCCAAGAGGAGATCTGGATGGCAGTGAGCACATAAACAGCTGTTCAGTGCCCTTGCCATTAGCAAACTGCGAACTACACCCCCCATGAGAGGCAGGCCAGTGAGCAGGTATTAGGACCGCTAAAATACGGACCAGCG